CTGGCGGGGGACCTGGGCGGGCCTGGGAGGGCGTGCCCACAGCTCCGTCCCCCAGCCCGGCTCGTCCCGTGCCCAGCGGCTACCCGCTCTCCCGGGCGGGCTGCTCTCAGGGCCGGGCTCCCAGTGCTGCCCCCGGATCCCAGGAGGCCCGAGGCGGCCTGGCCCGCACTCCTGAGCTGGCACTGCTGCTGGACAGCCGTCCCTGCCTCGGGCTTGTCTGCAGGGCCACTGGCCATGGGGCCCAGGTGCTGGGAGGGCAAGGCTGCCGACCGGCTGTCCGTGTCTGCCCAGTCCTCCAGAATCGACGACCAGCGCTGCCCACCCCCTGACGGCGTGCCCCGCGGCCCCACTGTGCCAGACGAGGACTTCTTCAGCCTCATCCAGAGGGTGCAGGCCAAGCGGATGGATGAGCAGCGGGTGGACCTCGCCGGGAGCCCCGAGCAGGACGTGGGCGGGCCCCCGGAGCCCCGGCAACAGTGCCAGCCGGGCACCAGCTAAGGCCTCGCCCCCATGGCTGGGCCTGCCCTGCCCCCACTCCTGGACACAGTGGGGGGACTCACAACAGTCCAGGACGCCCACAGCCCCCCAGAAGCCGAATCCTCCCAGGGCCGTGGCTGAGGGCAGGCTCTGAGCCCCCCGCCCTTCCCACTGAGCTGGATGTTGGCCTGCCACCCGCACAGTGTCCCCCTGCCCAGGGTGACAGGCTCGGGCCAGGGCTGCCCATGTGGGGTGGGGCTTATCCTGCCCGGAGCCAGCCCCCACATGGTACACGGCTCACTGCAGCCCTGCCCTGCCCCAGCCTGGGCCTGCAGCATGTCGGCCCAGACCCCGGTGCTGTCCAGACCCTCCGTGACCTGTCCCTGCCCCGTGCCCACTCCGTCCTGCCCAGCCAAATGTGAAAACCCTGCTGCCTGCCCCACACCCCAAAAGGTTCTCTGGGGGCCACCAGTGACACAGGCGTCCCTGTCCCCCCAGAGCTGGTCCCCGGATGGCCCGGCAGACATGCTCGCCCCAGTCCCGGCTTCTCACCCCCCAGAGGGTTCCCCTCCCTCCTGCCCAGGCTGAGGGAGGAGCAGGAAGGTGTCACAGAAAGCCTAGAGCCCGATGTCCCCACAGAGCCCCCGGCCCTGGCACTTTAGCCCCCAGCCCCATGCAGTGCTGAAGAGGCAAGGGTCCTGGGGGGCAGGCTGGGGGTAGGCAGCGACCGGGCCCTGAAGCCCAGCAACAAGCAGGACTAGCCAGTGGCCCAGTCTGCTCCCGACCACGCCAGCCCTGTGGCCGTGGGGGAGGTGGCGGCAGCAAAGCTGGGGGGCTTACTTCGGCCCACCCTTCGGTACAGCCTAGGAGCCCTGGGTGGGCAGGTGGGGCTCGGTGTGGGGACACCCCGGGGCCGGTCCGGAGGCGTGGGCTCAGACGCCAGCGCACAGGCTTCTGCTCAGCCGAGTACTTGAATGTACACGCATATTTATTGCTCTCACGTTTGCCATGTCGTCTGTGGGTCCTTTCCAACCCAGAAGGTACATCTGTTTTTCTGTTTTTTCCGGAAAAAAATAAAGTCTGCCAAGCGAATGCTGTTGTGTTGGGATCAGTGCTGCGAGGTGGGGGGGTTCTTCGGGAGGCCCAGGTGACTGAGCTCACCTGGATGAGTAAGCCCGGCCAGTGCAGAGGGCCTGGGGCTCTGGGGCCCACACAGGTTGTCCTGGAGACATCTGGGGCCAGGGGGCCCTGCTGGGTTTGTCAGTGAGGGGACTGGAGCTCCGGTTGAGGGGTACCCCAGGGACGCAGAGCCGGCAAGGAGCTGCAGCCAGAGCCTGTGTCCCCCAAGCCTGGCCTTCACCCCATGTGCCCCTCAGGGTGGGTCAGTCAGGAGCCAGCGGGGCGAAGGCTCTGACACTGGGACGCAGGAGCTGCTGGGACGAGCCACTCTCCCCTTGGCCTCCCCACCCTGTCTCCTCCCACGGCCGTCCACGCAGCCTCTCATGGGCCACGCCTGCCCGGGGCCCCCACCTGGAAGGCTTCGTACCAGGAGGCCGGTCTCAGCGGGCCCACACAGCGAAGGAGCTGGGAGCCTCGGCGTATGCCCCATGTGGGGCTCACATCTAGGGGGCACAGAAGTGCGGGCAGTTGGGGTGTGTGCCAGCAAGGCCACCCCCACAAACACCCAATGCCCTGCTGGGAAGCCTACTGCCTCCCCACTCACAGGAGGGGGCTCTGGCCAGAGGCTGATAGAAACTGGGGGCAGGCTGCTCCTGGTCTGCATCTCTGGGCCTAAGACATGCTGTGGCCCCTGGGCACCAGGGGCCTCAGGCCAGGACAACTGCAGTCGACTCATGTGCTGAGACACCCGTCTTGGTCTGCTCAGGGCCCACGCCAGGAGAGACGCATTCAGACTCCCTGGATTTCAGAGGGGGACAGATGACCCCAAAGGGGGCAGGAATCTATGAGGCAGAAGCCGAGGGCCCATCCACTGGGAGCTGGGGGAGGCTGACCAGTGGGTACAGGAGTGGACAGGAGACTTCCATTCCAGAAACAGTGGCCAGGAAATGCGCATCGCCCCTCACAGCCCCCGCCACGGAAAGGCTGTGTGTGTCCCTGAAGAAAATGCTACATGTGTGTGTCTCCCCGTGGGAAATGCTACGTGTGTCCCCGCAGGAAATGCTACGTGCGTGTCCCTGTGGGAAATGCTACGTGTGTGTCCCCATGGGAAATGCTGTGTGTCTCCGCGGGAAATGCTACATGTGTGTGTCCCTGCAGGAAATGCTGCACGTGTGTCCCGCAGGAAATGCTACGTGCGTATCTGTCTGCAGGAAATGATAACATGTGCATGTCCTGGCAGCGTCCAGAGCATCAGGACCATCAGGAATCACCCTGCCGAGCCCCTGGCCTCACGAGTGCCCCAAGTCTTGTGCCTAGTACACCGTCTGTCCCCAGCACACCTATGGGTGCAGGTGCTAGGACCGCCAGGCCGAGCAGAGGGCAAGTGTGGCCCTTGGATTCGGGGGAAGCTGAGACAGGCCAGTCGCTGCTCCCCCGCCTCTCTCAAGGGGGCCCTGTAGGACTGCGGGGTGGGAGGCGCCCACAGACATGGCCACGGCCACGGCAGCACACCTGGTCACGTTGTGTGTGCAGAGGCGGCTGAGTCAGTGCACGTGGATGCATGGCAGGGGCTGGTGGCCTGGCTGGCAGTCAGGGCTGGGAGGAGGCTTGAGGAGGGGAGGGGGTGCAGGTGGGAAGGCCTCTGGCACCAGTCAATGCCCAGCAGAGACCCCACCCCACAAGGGGACCCGAACAACCAGGCAGCCAGGTGATGTCTACTGGCCCTGCCACCCTGGTACCCGCACAGTGGATAGGCAGTAAGGTGGGCCCAGGCAGGTCTCCCCCTCTCCAAGGTGGCCTCGCCATGCAGCTGCCAGCACTGGGCAGCTCAGCACATGGCGGGGCTCTGATGGCACCGGCCAGACCTGGGTGGCAAGGTGATTACGCGGGCCTCCTGCGCCCTGGGGGGACTACGTCCTACCTGGACCCACACACTCTAGGATGCATGTGTCTTTCCAGTCCATGTCTCTGCCCAGGACCCGTGGGCCACCTATAGCATGGAGGTGCAGTGGGCCTGTGGCATCATGCCCCAGACGCCGCTGGTGGTGGGCCCAACAGAATGGCCTGTGACGATGCAGCAGGGGAGGCAGCTCAGGGACAATGCCCCACGAACCAACAGCTGTCATAAGGCACTGTCCCCAGTAGGGTCTGGGAGCCAGGTGGAGGCGGAAGAGGCCCTCCCACCCTCCCCTGTCCCACCCACACCCCAGTCCCAACCTGCCGCCCCGCCTCCCGATCAGTGCGGGGTGCCAGGTTGGGACTGGGGTGTGGGTGGGACAGGGGAGGGTGGGAGCAGCTGAGGGAAGCTGGTCCCAAGGGGAAGGGCAGGCCCTGAGCACACCCCCGACATCCCCCGCCCTAGACAGTTCACAGTGCCCCAGAAACCCGTCCTCCACCACCACGTCCTCCCGCAGCAGCCCCCATCCAGGTCAGCATGCCAAAGGCTCTGAGAAGTCCTGCAGGAAGTTGTCTGAAGATGTCTAAGCTGTCATTCTCTACCTAATGTTCCCAGACACACGACTCCCTAACCTGTCGCATTGGAGAGGGTCCTGGACTGGGGCTGGGGGAGGAAATAGAACAGGGCAGCCAGAAACCCGAAACGGCTGGGAGGCAGGGGAGGGGAAAGCGTGCCGAGTCTGCACTGCGCACCGAGGCGCAGCAGGGCCCGCAGGCCCAGGGCTGGCCGCTGCACAGCTCCAGCAGCTCCGGGCACAGCGGCTGCCCCGGTGTGGGCCCTGGGGTCTGTTACTCTCTCTGGGAGGGGCGGGCCCTCTGGGGCAGCCTGATCAAATCATCAGAATGCAAAAAATAACAAACACGACTGACACGTACACCCAAACCACGGGGCTATCGCCCCATCCATGGAGGGAGGGGCCCGGCAGTCCTCCCGGGGTCCGCCAGCTCCCCGGGCCTCCCCAAACTCCAAGGGCAGTGAGGCAGCCAGGCCACAGCCCGGCCCCACTCCTGTGTGTGAAGGCCTGCCAGCCCCCGCATGGCCTCCACGCCTCCAGGGAGGGGAAATGGGGCTGGCAGAGGCTCCAGAATGATGACGGTCTCTGCAAATGGCACAGCAGCCTTGGGTGGCAGTAATAGAGGGTTGTTCGCCAAGAGAAGGACGGGGGTAATTGAGGCGCAAACTGCTGACGCCCCGGAAAACAAAGCCAGGCGTCGAGTGCTGACGCGGGCGGTGACGGGAAGCTCAGACCTTGCCGCGATGTACGAGGGGGGCTGGTGACTCATGCTGAAGGTCACACCGCCCCGAACCCCGCTGGGGGTAAGCACGCTCCCATAAACACAGAGACACCCTGAGGAGGTCAAACGAGGCTGGGAGACAAGCCGTACGCCCCGGGGGCAGTCATGGGGGCACTTGCCCGCCCCCTTCTCGCCACCACAGCCGCCCGGCCCACCTGCGGCCACAGCGAGCAGCCCAGTTTGCGTCCAGGGGACAGACGCAGGTGGCACGGGAGGGATCTGTGGGGCCTCCCTGGTCTGGTCACAGGGATGGGACCTGCAGATGGGCTGATCCTGCCCCAGGAAGAGCAGTGGCTCGCTGGCCATCCCGTCCAGGCCCCTCCCCAGGGCCAGCAAGATCGGGGCCTGACGTTCGGGGGCACAATGAGCCACCCTGTGCCTGTCCCGAGTCTGTCCTCTCTGTGCACCTGACGGGATGGCACCATGAGCACCTCCACCTGCAGACAGGCAGAGGCTCAGAGGGGCAAAGTGACCTGCCCGAGGCCACGCAGCAGTCAGGACGGGCTCGGACTCCACGTCTAGCCCCTTCCCACTCGACGCGGCCTTCGGCAGGCCAGTGCAAGGGCAGTCCCTTGGAGCAGGGCGACAGCGCTGGACTGGGGGATCTTGAAGCTGCACAGGGAAGGGTCCCTGTGAGTCATCTGCCTTCAGAGCCAGGGACAACAGGAGAGCTCAGGCCCCATCATCCACGGTGATATCTGTTTATTGACAGAAACAGGCAAGTGTGGAGAGGCCCCAGGCCAAAGCACCCTGCTGGAGGGCAGAGGCCGGGTCAGCTGGGCTCCGTCTTGCCAGTGGGGCTGGCGTCCTGGCCCTCATCCCGTTCTGGAGCTGCAGTGGGTTGGGGGGCCGCCGCAGCCTCTAACACCAGCTCCAGAGCCCCGTCACCGGCCACTCGGCACACCTTCTCCCCTCTGGCTGCCAGGATTTCCTCAATGTTCCTGAGAGAGGGAGGCGCCATGACACTCCGGGCCCCATGCCAGTCCTGCACCTTGGTCCCTTGAGGGCATGCAAGGCCAGGCTCTAGCAGGAGCATGGGTCCCCGCATTGGTGTGGCATCAGGGCCACTGCATGCTGCCCTCATGGAACCTTTTCCACAGCCCCCAGAGGCAGCCCCTACTAGTCCCATCCCCAGGGGAGAATGCTCACTCTGAAGCCAAACTGAACTGTCCAGGGCCACCTGGCCACAAAGCTCCTGACCATCGCTCTCCAAAGGGGTGAGGCCGATCCTGACAGGCCTAGGGTCCTGTCCACGCCACCTCACATGCACCCCTAACTCTAGTGTGCTCAAGCAGCCAGCATCGACACAAGACAAGGAAGTGACTCGGAAGTGACTCGCTAGGATCCCCGCCCCACAGCAGGGAACCTCTGCAAGATGAAGGAACCATAAAGTGAAAGGTCACTGCTTTAGGCGTCAACTTCGTCTGACCCCTCACTTGAGAGGCCTGTGGCCTTGGCAGGTAGATGGGTCCTGCCTGCTGTCATTGAGGGCAGAAGTCAGGCAGTGAGGCAGGGCCAAAAGAGGCTGGCCTAGGGCAGAAAATTTAGCAAATGAAAAAATGTCCCATACTTGAGACATACAAGAAAGTTATTTGTGGTTTATCTGAAATTCAAATTTACCTGCTTCACCTGTATAGTAAGGCTAGAGAGAAAGACTCTATAAACCTGATTATGGGGATGGTGCCCCGGGGAGACTCGGTGAGGCCCCTGACTGACCCAGGACCCACCAGGCCAGCCCTAGGATACAGGCCTCTGTCTCCTCACCCTGCCCAGGTGGCCTTACCGCTTCCCATCCAGGTCAGAGAACCAGCCCAGATTGTCAGCGATGATGTGGTGGTTGTCGCAGCCAGGGCAGGTCACGATGACCACGCCCTGGTGATAGGCCAGTTTGGAGATTTGCTTGGAGGACCGGGTCCCACAGACCTGGAGACAGAGCGCTCAGGGGAGGTGAAGCGCCTGGATCTGCCCATTCCAAGGATTAGCTCCATCCTAAGGATCTGCTCCTCCTGAGGGACAAACCCTCCCCTCCCCAAGAGCCTGGCCCGCCCCTCTGCCAGGAGGCCCTGCCCCTTATGGTAGCTCCACCCTCGGTACAGCGGAGCCCGTCCCAGAAGGTCCCACTCCCTGGGACCACCCCTCAGTGAAGCCCCGCCCCTCAGGATAGCTCCACCCCTCTCCCAGAAGGCCCCGCCTCTGTCCCTGAGCGCTAGATCAGTCCCACTCCTGGAAAGCCCCACCCCTTGGCGAGGCCTCCCCCTTCCCAAACGACCCCG